ATGTGGAGTTTTGACAAGTTCTAAATTGTCACCTTGGTTTGTTTATCCGGGACTTGTTATGAAATGTCTGTGTTTGTTGCACGGTATTTTCTGTGTTTTTGTCCTCTGCAGAAACCAAGCAGGGAACCTCTCGTATTGTGTAACTATCCCAGGATGAACTTTCTATTTTTGTCCAGAGCCTTTGTTCTGCCTCAAATGAAAAAGATGAGCCCATGCCCCTCTAATTAAGTGATCATGAAAAATGTTGCATGTCTGGGTGCTGAAGGGATGAGAGCGAGTCCTGTCCACCTGATAAATGGGATTGGGGGGGGGGGGGGGGTCTGGAACCTGTCATTGACTGCAAAATGAAATGAAGAGACTGGTGAAAAGCTGTGAAATTACAGGTGCATCTAAAAAATTTAAATATTGTGAAAAAGTTCTATTTTTTGTCAATCATTTCAAAAAATGAAACTCTTATACAGTACTGCATACATTCATGGAGAGAAATATTTCAAACCTTAATTTCTTGTCATTCTGATGATCATGGCTCATTTTCTGAGACACCATTTTTTTTTCCATTATGAAAAAAACTGAATTCAGTGTGTCAGATAATTAGAATATTTCATAGCCCATAGTGCTTAATTTGAGCTGGATCCTGCTGGAACCGGATTCAGGAACTCTCTTATTTTGACAGGGTGTGTTCCAGTAACTGTTTGTCTGGATCCGGTAACTCTGTTTTATTAATAACAACGTTAGGAACACATTTTTCATTCAACCTTTATATATACAGGCTAGCCTCATTGAGCCACGGGGACTCATTTACAAGAGAGACTGGCCTCCCTCCTTTTGCACCCCCATTGCAGCAACCTAGCCGAAGGCACCAGTGGCTGCTTCGCACATTTGGGCGCCTTGTTCTGGGACCCCTACCCACTCCACATGCATATGTCTTTATGTCACCAGTATGTTGCTTTTTCTTATACTGAGGTTTTTTTGGGCAACCTCACACTGTGTCCCGTCCAGTGATGGTATAGTTACATTGAAAAAGTAGCTTTAATCGGAGTATTGATTACTCCTTGAAAAAGTAACTTGTGTACTTTACTGATTACTTGGTTTTGAAAGCAACTAAGTCAGATTACAAGTTACTTTATTAATTACTTCAGCAACTGCTGACAACAAGCTTCTGCCACCTCAACATAAAAATTACATTGCACTTTGCCAACACTTAGTACTTCCAGGTACAAAATGTGTATCTTTCACCTCCCTCCATTGTTTGTGTTTCTGTCGCAGTGTGATATCATAGGTGCTGATAATGTGACTGAATTGTTGCATAGACCAGACGTCACTCCCCGAGAGGCATAGAGGAAATAAAATTCAATTACTAGAAAAAAATGACAAAAATAGTAATGCACAATAATTTGGACAAGTAATTTTAATCTGATTACTGGATTTCAAACAGCAACGCGTTAGATTATTCATTACTGAAAAAAGTGGTGCGATTAGAGTAACGCATTATTGACATCACTGGTCCCGTCAAGGACACAGTGTGAGATATGATTGTTTTAATACCTCCCCTTTCCTCACGTTTTCCCTTTTCCTTATCTAAATGAAAAGGGCAGCGCTTCACACGAGGCTGCAGCCTCAGGCATCCCCGTCTACCCATGTTATTTTCTTTGGACGGCTGTACTGAAATGTAATTTTGTTGTGCTTCTGTGCAATGACAATAAAGGTCGATTCTGATTCTGAGTAAATTGTTGTACAAGTGCCTCTAATGCTGAGAGTTTTACTAAAATCCATCCAGTGATTCATGAGATATTTTGTATAACAAACAGGGTGCAATGTGTACAGCTCAGAGGATGTGTTGGGGGTGACTCGCAGCTACTACCTCACCAACACTTAGGTCAATATCTGTAGAATTACCTGAGATGATGGTTTAACATGTCATACTAGGAGTATGTATACACCTTGTGTGTGGCTTTGCTGCACATTCTCAGTCCAAAACATCTTGAATGTCAGGCTAAACACCCGAGTCCAAATTGATCGTAGGACTGAGGGTGCATGTATTGTTTGTCTTTATGCTGAGAGCTGAGATAGACTTCATCAAAACATAAAGCAGGTTTGAAAATGACATTGAGTCTGTCATATTATCGACATTATTTGCTTGCAAATGTTTCTCAGATCTAATAATCAAATGCATACGTGGAATACGGTGGATGGTGGAATCAAGGTGTTTTTTTTCCCCCACAAAACTTTTATTCATTTTATAGCTTATGTTTTATAGATTCATTCAAACATAATGCAATCCAAATTCAACTGAATTCTATAAAACTTGATTCACACTCCTCGTTTTCTTCTATCCAGCTAAATTACAGATATTTTTGAAGGAGTCCTGACAAGGAAGTCTTACAGCATTCAGGTAGGCTGTATCTCTCACTTACTGCACTGTTATTAACTGTTTGAAATATTGTCTCTCCTGACAAGTTGTAATAATCTTATCTGGTGTTTTGGACTTTCCCCAGCGTCTTTTATTTTAAGGCCACTTCGCAGTAAATGACAGAGGAAAGACAGGCCCTGAGCTCTTGGCTGTCACCACACCTGGGCCTTAGCATCCTTCCTGCCCTCCCCGGGAATTCTTCTCTTTCCCCACCTGCAGAGCAGTAACGAGGGGTGAGTGGGAGGAAGAAAAGACCTCTTCGTTGCACCTTTCCCACCCAGCTCTGCAATTTAATTCCCTCTCAGCTTTATTAAAGCAAACTTGTACAGACTTGTGGAATCCAAGCGTATGAGACAGGGCATGTCTGGATGTGGGTGTATCTGTGTGTAAGCCTCATTAAAGGTTGTGATGATCCACTTTGGTGAGTAAAAAATACTAGGTTTTTTTCCCCTTCTTAAGAAACAAACAGAAAAAGGATACCCCCCTCTCAGTGATAGTCCAGACTTTTGTTGTTAGTGTCCTCTACTGGCTGTAAAATGAACTGAGGCTATTACTTTCTCTGCACAGTTAACGTTAAGGATCTTTATTTTTTAAATTTATTAAAATCTTTATTTTACCAGGGAAGAAATCCATTGAGATTATTAATCTCTTTTACAAGAATGTCCTTTATAACTCCAAGAAAGTTCATTCAGGTCATATGGATTATTATTTTGATTTTTTTAGACGTTTCGTCCTTCATCCAAAGGACTTCATCAGTCCAAGGAGCCACAACAAACTCAGTCCCACAAGCAGCACACTCATATAGTGGACCAACCAGTTTGCTGGTGATAAGATGGTTTCTGTGGCCCGCCCTCTTCCCCGTCGACTCCTCTGAGGCAGCCATAGCCAAAGTGGTTCAAAACATAAAAGTTCACGCTCAATAATCCTGGTAAAAAATATACGAAGGATGAAAATGTCTCAACAAAAAAAAGCTAACGTTCAGATGACCTGACTGAACTTTGTTGGATTTTTTTATCTGGATTATTGAGCATGAACTTTGAACCTTTGTCACAGTTCTTCTAACACGTTCCATTGATTTGTAAGACAAGAAGTCCTGGACACATTTCATGCTGTACACTTAAGATAGCCCCAGAAGGGAAACACTAAAGAAAATAAAAAGAAAGAAGTGAAAACCTGGTGACGGGAAACATTTTGTGGCCAAAACATTCAGTCTTAAAGGTTGAGTCTTGAGATAAGGCACATAGGAGTATTTAAATAAAATGTTGTAATAAAGAAGTTATAGCAATAAGAAAACACATAGGCACTCAGCATTTCAATCATTTCTCATTTCAAGGATTGCTACAGATACCTTTAATGACATTTGGATTTGGGAAACAGGTGAACCAGTTCGCATCTTAAAACCAATTATTTTGTTTTCATGTGTGCTTATAGTTTTTTTTTTGTTCATTTGTAAGCTCCATTTGTAGTCCTTTTAGATTTCCACAAAAAAAAGGTGATAGATCATGGTAGATGGCGCATTTCTTCATTATTCTGTTCATTCATTTCACAATAGTTGCCATTTTGCCGACATGAAAACTTACCGTTATGTAAGACTTGCCGTATATCCTTTAGATGTTTTTTTTTTACATAACAAAAAGCTGAACAAGAAACAAGTTCATAAAGATTACACAGATGTTACAGTTTATTTACATAAAAAGTAAAACACAGCAATATTACAGTAATACACAAATACGCTGTTTACATGTAACATGTTAGACACAGAGGTGCAGCCATGTATGAAATTATTACAAAGCACAGATAAAATATCTTCAAAGTAACAAGTGTCCCCATATAACTGCAACAACAGGTTTGTTTGGAGGTCCTTCTCGGGTTTCCAACATAAAAATAAAAAAAGATGGTCATCATCTCATATACAATTAACTCAGACGATAAGAAGCTTTTTCCTCAAAGCAATGGTATTGTATACGTCATTGACAGATGACTGCATTTTACTCCAATACAGCAGCTGCTATGTTCTTTAAAGTAGAAAGTTGAGGTGACAATGTTTTGTTATTGGCCACTGGTCCCAAGAAAGTCAAGGAAAAAGGGATAAAGTTGGCAGTTATACACAAAATACCTCCTGTACAAATCTTCTAAACAAAGTGATGATGTATTTTATCCAGTTCGAGTCAATATATATAAATATTACAGTCTAATAAAATTATTTTTATCTCATTTTTCTCAACTCACATATACTCACAGAAAGAAATGCTCCGAGAAAACTCTTACAGCAGCTTTTAAAGTGGTCATGTTCAAATCCATCAAAAAACAAAAACAAAAAAACCCACAAGTACCATAGTCTAAAATCATTATTGCATAGATAAAAGAACAAAATCTTGTTTGCAATGTTCCATTTCCAAATTACACAAAATTTTGTCTATCTGCCATTCTGTTTTTAACGCCATTATTAAAACACAACGTGCAGCAAAAAGTTGCTTCTGTGATCCTCACAGCTGTACAGTTTGTTCAGCCCTTAAATTATGGAAAATGTTAGAAAAATACAGATAACTACATACACAAGTTCATTTGAGTTGTTCATAAAATGCCATGCATGAAGAGTTACAATGAATATATCTAACTGTACAAAACACGAGAACAAGTAAAAAACATGTCTATTATTTAGTTTTTCTTTCCTTTCATGACTAATTTACAGTTCATATGAGAAAGGATGTGTTTTTACATAAACTTATTATCATGTTACCATTAACTTTCTTGACAACATCCAGTTAGATTCCAGGACTTAAGGTCTCAGCTTCACCCTTTCTTCAGTCTTTAAACCGCTGCTTCTTTTGTCCAGTACATGTCTTCCCAGCTGATCAGTCCCCCTCCTACTTACTCCTTTGTGAACCAATCATCACTTTGGACACAAAGTTGACTATGGCACTTGCAGGCTGCTCAGGATCGTGCTCTGCAAACAGGTGACATATGTTGTCTATGGAAGTGCCGGTTTTCCTCGCCACAAATCCAAAGATTCTGCAAAGATGGAGTAAAGCACTTAATAGCAGCACTAACTACACATTTAAGAATAGCTGTATAACCTGTTATTTACTTACTTTGCTGAAGGGTATCCATCTTTTTTCCACCTATGAGCAAGAATCGTAGTGTCAGCAAAGCAGAATATGGAAATAACACCAAATTTACTTGGATGACATCATTTTTTCAACAATAGATTTGAATTATTTTTAAGCCAGATTTTCTACAAACAATGTTTGACAAATATTGTGCAAACCAAGTGGTTATAAAACAACAATAACAACACTTACTTTCTCTCTTGAGGGTCCAGAGCACAAAATATAACTGTGTTGACATTGTAATGGCGCCTGAAAAAGAGCCTAAAAACAGACAAATTCATGGTTGAGACATGTGGATTATCTTTGAATGAACAGTTTAAGGTCAAATCCCATTTTACTCCTTCACTTAAAATATTCAGCCCTATTAGGTTTAGTGCCAGTTTACAAAAATAATGTCCAGGGAGACATTTTTTGTGACCAAGTATGCAAATAAACCAATAAAATTCAGTTTTATGACAGTTTTGGTCAAAGCTTGAAAGAGCTGCTGAAGAGGGACCAAAGAGCTGCTGAAGAGGGACCAAAGAGCCACGTGTGGCTCCAGAGCCGCAGATTGCAGACCCCTGTTCTAGAAGAATATTTGTTTCCTGTTCAATACCCTTTGACTGCTCTAACCCAGCTGTTGCCTTTGGGTCAAAAGGACCCAATAGACCTGAAACTGAAGCATTGTGGGTCATTTTGACCCAAGAGCAGCAGGAGGGTTAAGGCTATATGAATTTCTGGAAATAAAATGTTGCCTGTCTATGGTCTAGTTTGATGTCTACTGATGTATTATTTTGATATTATTGTCAATTACTCATGAAAAGCTTTAAAAATAACAAAATGTGTCTCATAATAGTTATATTATAGATTTGTTTATTGTCTCTACAGGCTTTCTTACATCTAGATAGAAAACCTTGACATTTTACATTTTGGTGTAATTGTTGTTTTATTCTAGCAAGCATTAAAAAAAATGACTACAACTAAGTTTCGATACATTTTGACACAACTGATGATGTATTTGCTTCTTGCCAGGGTGTTTCATGTCACAATGAAGTACTTTAACTCTATGACTTTGAAATGACAGCTGGGGGGGGCATGTCCATACAGGGATGGAATGGGATTTGGCTGAAAAAGTGTGCTGCACTCACTTCCTCTGGTTGTCTGTCAGCGTGATTCCCTGAGAAGACACTTTGAAGTGGACCACAGTGGAGTTTGGTAGAGGGTTTGCATTCAGGGTCATGGTAGTGGCTTTCTGCACCGCCTGGACCCCGGTAAGCGACTCCATCTCCACAGAGCCGAGGTACCACACGTTACAAGCTGCAGGCAACAAACACAAATCAGATTCCACTTGGATTTTCTTTGAACCGTGGCGCTTAGTGATAAAAACAGAGCATAAGAAAAAAAAAACTATTTTCAAAACCAGCCCTGAAATACAAGGACTGCGTCAAGTGTTTACTTGTTGTCTCATCATCTTGTGTTCGACATAATGACTATGCTTAGTGAGTGATGTAAGAAGCCTGGTTACCTGCACCCTGTTTTAGTAGCTCCGCAGCAGAGTTTGTGACAGACTGGGATGTATTCTCCACAACATCTTCAAAAGGATCTTAAGAAGAAGAAACAAACACTAGAAATCAGCAGCTACACAGATGGGCAACTGAATGGCCATACTGATAAATTACCTCACAGGAGAGCCAGATTAAAAAAAACAATAAATAATTATCTTCAATAAATGATATGTGACAAGTGTTTGTGTGTGAGTGTTTACCTGTGTCAGGTATAATAAGTTTGCAGGGAAGGGCCAGAGGTGTGATTGAGTGCTGGCAGACCAAAGCAGTTAAGCTTCCTGTAACAGAATCGAGTACGAAAAATTAACTAAACCAGGGGAATTTTCAAAGTAAAAGGATGTAAACGAAGAAAATGTCAACTCAGACATTAAAGGTCATGCTCAATAATCCAGGGGAAAAAAAACAAAGTTAAGTCATGTCCTCTGAATGGTTTCTTTTTGGGCCACTTTTTTGGCACCCATGCCTCAGACGAGACAATTGGGGAGAGGGTGGACTCTAGAAAACATCTTATCACCATCAAACTGGTTGGCCTATGAGTGTGCTACTTATGGGACTGAGTTTGTTGTGGCTCCTTGGACTGATGGAAGTCCTTTGGATGAAAGATGAATTGTTTCAACACAAAAAAAACATCCAGAGGACCTGACTCAACTTTGATGGGTCAACTCAGCCAGTTTCTAGATAAGGAAAAGGAACAAAAATTATATACTAATGATAAGTGCTATGTGCTGTCATCATTGTATGTTCCCATACAATAGCAAAATTAGTTATCTGCATTTAACTCATTGCACCTGGGATGCATCCAGGTGACACCACAACATGTGGAAGATGGCTGGGGATTGGGCATGGGGATTCTGGGTCCCGGGTCGGCTGCCCTGCCTCTACTCCATTTGAGCCCCCAATTATAATATTAGATCATGAAATGCTTCTATGAATTCTTTTTATAGAGCCTACAAAATATAACTGCGTTTCATTCATCCAAGATGAACAAATCCCACATGACTCAAACACAACAACTAGAAAGATCTGTTAGCTTGATTGATGTTTGGGTGCCAGGGTTTGCAGCAAACTACTGGTACAGAGCACCGTGCACCAACAGAGGGCAGTATCAGTCATGAAGTCTTAGTATTTAGCTGTAGAGACTAGAGGCCAAACAGACAGATGGTGATGAACTCCAGGTTTTAACTGGACAGGTACTCACCAAAGTAGGGCTCATTGGGACAACCCTTCAGACGCACTCCTTTCTGCGTGCACTCGATCAGTAAGTGGCGCACCAGTTCATTGGACAGATCTCCTCCTGTTAGAGAATAAATAATCTGTTTTCAAGATTTATATGGAACTTATTAAATAGTCAGTTTGTCCAGAGATTAGGTGGGAGATGAGTCAACACAAGCAGCCCCCTACTTCCACCCCCCTCAACGTGGCAGCAGGAGGAATGTTAGCACAAAAGCTTGTTTCTTGAAGTGGGCTGGATTTCTCACTTTCAAAGGAATCACAAAGCTCCAAGACCAAAGATGGGCTGTGGGCTGTGAGGTGACGTCACCACAGGTGCTGCTGGATCGCAGAGGGGCGGCAGCAAACAAAAGGACAGGTGTGAGTCGGGGGCAAAAACGATAGGACTGAACAAAGAGTTCAGGGTGCATTTGTCTTGAAGGTTTCTGTTGAGCAAAATGATTGCTATGTTTTGTTGATGTGAAGGTTTCAGACTAAAACTTGGCATTACGTCACACAATACAAATCACTGATATGTTGCTAAAATTAAAATAATAACTATGGTACTTTTCAATCATTATATTATAAAATTAAAATAAACATCACCCTGACTGAAGTAGAAAGTCTGGAAATAAAACTAACAACCTGAAAATGTCTGGTTTCACAAATTGCGTAATTAGTTTTACATTTATTCTATTTTTGGGTTCATTGACCAGGGAACGTTTTTTTTATCTACAAAAATAAGTTCACTTATGAAAGAATTATGTTGATTTTTATTTTTGATGTCTGAAAACTACATGCTAGCAGAAACTAAGAAGTAATACAAGAACTGTGCTGCTTCCTGTTCCGTGGCTTCACTTTAACTGCTTTTACAGCAACTCCGCTGTTTGTTTTCCTAAAAAGCATTTTGGTTGTCTATAATAAGGTGGCCCTAAGGTATAAATGAACAACATTTGAAAAAACGGAAATTACATTTGAAAAAACGGAATTACATTAGAAAAAATGGAATTACATTAAGCCAAAGTGGAAGTGGCCAAAGCAGAAGTGGCCGAAGCGGAAGTGGCCGAAGCGGAAGTGGCCCGAATCACATTAGAAAAAACAGAATGACATATAAAAAACGAAATTACATTAAGCCAAACAGGAAGTTTATTTTTTTATTATTTTTACTTTATTAACAGCATAAAACTGAACAACAGAACTATATACATAACAGAGATACAGTTAAAAAGATAGCCTGCTAACTGTATCTCCTTTGTGTGTGTACTGTATATTTTTCTGTTGTTCGGTTTTATGCTGTAAATAAAGTAAGAAAAAAAAATACTGTTTGGCTGAATGTAATTCCGTTTTTTCTAATGTGATTCCTTTTTTTTTCAAATGTAATTCTGTTTTTTTCTAATGTGATGCCGGCCACTTCCGCTTTGGCTTAATATTAATTCCGTTTTTTTAATGTTGTTCATTTACACCTTAGGGCCACTGTACTATAATAAAAGACACATTTATTAAAAGCCCACCTCTTTCCCCTAGCTATGCAACAGCCAGACAAGTAACATATGTTGACCCTGATACTAGAATACAACTTATACACTGTATACAGATAAGTGGGGCAGGGAGTTTTCCTGAAGAATGCCCTGGCATCAGAACAGCCATGTCCTTTGTTAAGAGTGAAACATTAGCTGCACATCTAAGACTATCAGGCAGCAGAAATCTGGTTTCATAAAGGTGAAGCCCAAGAGAGATCCACAGCATGATGAGTTCACTCACAAACAGAAAAAAACAGTCTCAAGTTCTATTGTGAATAATTTACCCATTTACAGCGGGCTGTAAAAGAAGACGGCTGTAGGTGTGACTGTTGTTCACGACCCCCAGGACGTTTGAAGTTCTGCACTAACCTTTGAGTTTTTTAGCCATAACATTTACAATTATTGAGCATAATTGAATGCAGAAGTCAGCTAAATAAAAAGTAGTCTAATGGTAATTTTTGTGCAAGATTTATCAAACAAAAGGAGCATTTTTCCAAACTTTATATTCAACACTTGCATAGCTTTATTTTTAGGTCAAAAACACAAAAAAATTCTGATTGCTTTAATTTAAAAAAGACTGCAAGCTAGTCAGTTTTGAGACATTTTACTCACAAAATAATGGGACCAAACCACACATGTAAAATACCTTTTTTGCTTTGCTGGAAAACAGAGGGAGGGGGTGTTGCCACCTTCATGGCCAGACCGTACGCCCCCTTGAAGGAATGGCTGTCCCGAACAATAAAGCAGCCGGGCTCCTTGTCCTTTAGGACTGCAATAGCTGAATAAAGAGGAGACATGCTGACAGTGAGCTGACAAAGTTAATTTTCTTTATTAATATGTAAAAAAAAGTGAAAACTGCAAACCCACCTTGATCCCTTGAGATGTCTGGTTTGTACCAGAATTTTGACGTGTCCTGCACAAACTTTGCAGTAACCTGCTTGTTGGCAAGAACGTCTGGAAAGCAACGTAACAATCCATAAAGCATCTATGAATGATAATTGAAGTAATGGACCTTAACAAAATGATTAGTAATAATTTATTTACCTGGCAGAGGTGAGGCTGCGCATGGCGTCTGAGCCGACAAGTCAGGCAGGACATTAGGGAAAGGAATACTCAGAGAGCTCCCACTGTGCGGACTTGAGAATCCACTGAGGGCAGGAGAGGCTGTTCCCAGTGAATGCTCCCCATCCGAAGCGCGTTTTTTTTCTGGTAGCAGAGGAGGTTGCACCTGGGGAGTCAATGACTGATGATGCCTTTCCACGGAGGATAAATTATCCCTATCGACGCCCACATTTGGACAGTCCGTGCCGTAGCCATGACCCGAGTCGTCTTGCTCGTCAAAGCTTTGAGCGGAACTACGGCTGAGGGCATAGCAAGCCATCTGGCTCCGCTGGCTGCTTCGAGGGGAGCTGTGGGCATTAGGGGCTGGGTGGGCGTGGGGGTGGTGTAAGGGAGGAGAGTGGTGACCGTAGTTCAGAGACATGGAGTGCTGCGGTGGCTGTCGGGCAGAGGGGTAATTACCCAGTGAGGTGTGGCGGCTCAGGACAGAATGCTCTGGCCAAGACTGATTCACAGAAGAGCTTAACAAACAAAATTACAAGAAAAACAAAGTTTTTATTGACTTGCAGTAATTAATACCATTATATCCTTCCTTTGGTGAGAAAAGCACAACTTGTGTTGCTGTAAATCAGGTCTGTACCTGTCTGCGTGCTGATGGCTTCCAACAATGGAGGCAGAGTGTGTAGAACTCAGCATCCTGTGGCAGCTGATGGAGGAGTCTGGCAAAGTCTCCAACACAACATGATTGATGTCAGAATATCCTTGGGGTTCTGCAAGGGCGCCAAGAAATAGGAAAAAGGAAAATTGCAGATTGTGTTAGGCTAAACTGAAAATAAAAACTAGCACATGGGGATTTGGAAAAAAGGCTGCTTAAAAGAATCAGATATTTCAGCAGTTAGCAGAACTGCTTACAGTAAAATAAGTTTGAGAGGAAAAAAAGAACTACCACTAGACAAAATGACTTTTTTTTAGCACTTGTAGAAGTCAATAATAGAGTTTCAATGTAATGGAAACTATTCAGATTGCATTGTACCTACTGTGGCATGTTAAAACTCCTAATTAATAGAAATACAGCAAGTCACTGATAACCCGTGCCAAAACAAATCAACCCTAACAGCAGCTAAAATCTTTATTTAAATCAAATCTGGAGCCACTGACATGAACATCGAGATTCGTTTTACAGTCCAGTTTTGTTCAAGTTACTAAAAGAAAGCAGATGTGTAAAGCTGAAAGGGTTGCTGGTTTCTGTATCTACCTTTTTCTCCTCTTTTTGTACACATAGATACTTTTATGGAGGAAGACAAGTTTTCTTTTTGTGTCACGCTTCCTTAACTCACAGTCACCATGGAGATGGAGCTAAACTGAATGCTGGGATTCTTGCCGGCCTGTCTGAGGCACAGCAAGGGGCACAGATCTGTGCCCAGACCATAAAACCTTCTAGACATACTGTATATCTCCGTGGAAACGAACATACAAGGTGATAAAGGAATAGAAATAAAAGTGAAGGTTTGGTGCTCAAAGGGTTTGTGGGGGAGGTTCGGACAAGGGGTTACTTAACGCAAAATATTTGAAACATTGGTAACAAAAAGAAGGATGCGTTTAAAGACTAATTCATTATTTAAGAAGTTGGAGTTCATAACTCAGACTAGGTGAGGCCTTTCAAAGGACTTTACAAACACAGGATGTGCTAATCTTCAAATTAAAACCGCAGAAGGGGAAAACTCAATAAAGAAAGACAGCACAATTTTAATCTTAAAAAACAATAGAGTTGTGCTCAAAACTGTTTTCCCTACAAACCAAAACCACACAGGCATTCCAGAGAAGGGTTAGGAATCTCCCTGCTTTTGTGCAAGAGCTGTCTTTGTTTTCAACCTCTGTCCTAAACTATTGCAAAATAGATGTGTTTATGTCACCTTGAAACAATGTTAGCAGTATTAAATGAATCAAAGATGAAACAAAGATGCCCTACGGTAACCTGCTGTAATGGTAGCAGCACAACAAACAAAAATAAGACTATGCTTTTCTCATAAAGCAGGGCTATTCAACAAAACTGCTCAGGGGGGCACAGTTTCTGAACGCCAACAGCTTGGGGGCCGGACATCCAGCGATTAAAATCACAGAAATAAACCAAAGTTTACATTGATCTGTTACCTTTTATATGTTTATTTTATTGTATTGAATCATAAATGCAATAAACAGAACCCAAAACCCAAACCCACAAACAAACATGTATACTGTACATATATATCTATATATATATATATATATATATATATATATATGTATATGTATATGTACTGTATATATACCGTATTTTTCGCTGTCTAAGTAACGTTTTCTTTTGCATAATTTACATGCCCTGTGACTTATATGCCAAAACGACGTATTTATGGATATTTTTTCCCATATTTATAAACCAATTTTTGGCTGATATGACCATTTTCATTCATTCAGACTGAAAATATTGAACGCTACTTGGGCTAGATGGCGCCAGACTAGTATAGCATGTCGTTGTGTCATGTAATAGGTAAAAGTGGCTATTAATGACACAGTTGTCTTGCCATAGCCTTCCACCTTCGTCCATCTCACTTGGAGCAATAGTCAAATCAGCTTCATTTTGCTGCACCACCCTGTCGAAATGCAGCTAATTTGACCAATGAAGTCCTTTTATTAAGTAAAAGTTCAACTGAGACACACCTTTACTATAAAGTTGAGCAAACAAATAATTGTTTTAAGGTGTTTATCTTGTTAAATTTTGAAGAAATGAGCAGCGGCTCATCCCTCTGCGTGTTCCTACTTCCGCGTATCGGCTTTTGAAATGCAGCTGATTTGACTGTCAAATTGTAATTATTAAGCAAAAGATAGACTGAGACACAGCTTTACTATAATTTCGAGCAAACAAATTGTTTTTAAGTGTTAATCTTGCTAAATTCTTGTTAAAGTCCTCCTGTGCACCCTCCTGCGGCCACCATTTGGCAGGCAATCGATTTTTGGCACAACACTGGCCCATATTTCTGGATCGTCAGCGGTGACGCGTAACAAACGAGATATGTCTGCGGTGATGCATAATAGATGCAACGTATATGGCGAAGTGACGAATTTATGGATTTTTCCATTTTATTAGACATATTTGAACTGATGTGACTTATACAGCGGTGCGATGTGCACTGTGGAATATATATATATATATAT